AAAAGTAAACCATTATAGGTTAAAGTACGGTCTTCAACACGGAGCCTTGGCTCACACCGAACAGTAAGCTATAAAGGGCCCCAAAATTACTAGTGTAAAACCATTCAAACGGGAAAACCAACGGTATAATCTATATAAACAACGAGAAACGAGAAACACTTATTAACCAAATCAACAAACGACAACTACTGAACATCAGATTCCTGACTTAGGACAGGTGCAAACAAATGCAGCGGGTTTTAACGTTTTAATGGTACCAAACCTTCACTCTTTTTCTGAAACAATAGTGTAACATCACAACATAGAAAGACACACTATAAAATATCAACTGAAATAGCTTAACTCAATCAAAGGACATATTAACACCAGTGAACATACACTGAACAAATAAATTTGACCTATGATACAATGTAAATACAAAATAAATAAACCAAGGGAAGAGTAATAAAAGTAACATGTTATATCGGTATGAAATGTTAAACAATTTAAGAAAAACTATATGCTCGAACAAAAATATCAGCCATTTGCAATTATTTTAAACACAGGTGAATGAAAATAATTTTGTTGTTAGGTATACGTGTACAGTTCCAATAGAGAAAGGAAATATTTTTACAAAATAAATAATTTTGATGTTCATAGTACGAAGTGAAAATTTATAGTAATACCAAACACTTATCAAAACTGGTATATAGACCAGATATAACCCCGAATGACATTAAATAACAAAAAAGCATTACAATTAGTATCAACAGGTCAAATAAACAAGAAAGTACGATTTGAGAGTACTCGCAGTTACTGACAGCTAGTTAAAAGCCAAAACAATTAATAATAAAAAATCATGCATCAGAGGCTAAAATCAACTAAAACACATCCCAGGGATTTAGTATTTTAACGTCATGGACGGTCAAAGAAGACATGACTTGTGCAATGCCAAAAATAAATGTATCGACAGACAGTAGGATAGTTAGGAGTCTAACCTTTTATAGATCAAAATGAACGTGGTTGTGTCTTTATGCATCCCGTTTGAAAAGAATACAAATTTAGTTATTTTTTAATTTGCTGATGACAAAATCGATATTAGTGCCAAGGTAAACTATATTCAAAGATCTAATTACAACATTGGTAAGATAACCTTTACTAATAAGTTTGTTTAAAGGTTCGATGAGTTTGCACGGATCACATAGTGATTTCCGCACTTCAAGTACAATATTACCGTAAAATTTAGGATGTGAAATACCGTTTTTAATCAGTTTTCTACAGGTACAGCCAAATTTACTAATCAAATCTTTGTATCTATGAAAGAACTTAGCAAAGGTTTTACGTAATTTATGGTAACGAAATCCCTGACTTAATAATTTACCAGTGATGCATTGATTACGTTCGTTAAAATTTATGACTTCACTACACACACTGGCATAACGAACGAGTGGGGCTATATAAACTCCGTATGATGGAGCCAAAGGAACATCGCCGTCTAAAAAAGGAATATTAACAATAGGGAATGAAAAATCGTCTCTTTTGTCGTAAATTTTCGTATGGAGTTTTACCGTATAGATTGAAATGTCCAAATCCAGAAAAGGACAACTACTGCTGTTTATGTTAAATTTAGTTAAAGTAAGTTCTATTGGGTAAATTTCGGTAGTATATTTAGAGAACTCTGGATTATTTAACGAAAAAATGTCATCTAGATAACGGAAGGTATTGTTGAATGTATCAACCAAATGTAACAATGACGTGTCTTTACTGAGTTTGGTCATAAACTGAGATTCATAGCAATACAGGAATAAATCTGCTATTAAAGGGGCGCAGTTAGTGCCCATAGGAATACATACTACTTATCGATACACTTTATCGCCGAAACGTACATATACGTTGTCCAGGAGAAAATTTAAAGCTTCAATCATACCTTCACATTTCCAGTAAGTGTATCTAGCATACTTTCCTTTTTCATTACAGAAAAAGGCTTTAAACGAGTTACAGCAAATGAATTTGTAATGAGATTTTTCAAAAGACCATTTAATTAAATAAGAAAACTTTTTCTTGATAAGATTGTGTGGAAGTGTTGTATAGAGAGTAGAAAAATCATAACTATCAACAGAATTAAAAGGACCATCAAAAGCATGTATTTTATCTAAAACCTCTAAAGAATTTTTAACACTCCAAAAATAATTAATACCATTATTTTTATAAGCTTTATTACAAAAGTTAATAACAAGTTCTTTGATAGTAGTAAGAGTGGTAGTTAGAAGCACTGATAGATTGGTAGTAGAACACTTACAAGATGCGGAGATGAAACGGAATTTAAATGTTTTTTTGTGCAATTTAGGTAACCAGTACATAGTAGGGACTTTCAAATGTTCGGAAGAGACTTTAAGCTGGGTAGTGGCAGTGATATGCTTGTTTACAATTTGACTCTCTGTGGAGCGTACCGACCTACCTACATCTAAAATCTATTAAAAAAAAGTAGATATATTCAAAAATTTAATGTACCAAATTTATTATTTGTTTTTACTTTTGACTTTATTTCCTGTTATTTTTTTCCTGAGACTTTTTATAAGTGACATTTTTTCTGTGACTTTTTTTCCTGTGAATTTTTTCCTACATTCGTCTGGGTAGGGTGACATGACTTCCTGCAGATCATAAACTTGTGAACTAACATGTTAAAATTCCATCTCAGCAAGATGGTGCAATTTTCATTTATCATTAACTTGCTTGAAATATGTGAATAGGTTGGGAAAACTATCAGAAATATATATAAGGTCAATAAAGTTCCCATAACTTCTTCGTCTGTCATCTTTCTTGGTGTTCCTCACCTGGCTGTGTTTTTATCAACCAATTTTCTCTCTTTTGGCACTTTGGTATTCCACTTTTACATTACACATCACATGAAACCCAAACAATATGGAAAAGGTAATAGTTTTACCCACGCAATATATGAAAATGTAAACAGTTTGAAAATCTAAATTATATGAAAAGGGTGGGGTAACAGAACCCCAGCAGCACCGCTACCAATTATGTATTGAAGTGAGGGGATGTGTTAATTACCTGATTCAACACAAAGTTAAAATATCTACCCAATAACCATTATTGTCTAGTGGCAGTCAGTCATTTCCATATCCTCTCAGCTATTATCTTTTCAGAACCTACCTTCAATTATTCATTGCATAATTTGTTCTTAACCTGAATATGTTCAAATGTATGCATCTTTTGCTAATAAAGCAATAAGCAAAATAAATGTCTGTCAATTGTATACTGTTAAACAATCAAATTTTAATCAAAGCATCGTCGATGTTGTGATCCAGCCATATTCATAGCTAGTCTGATATTCTTTCTGACCATACTTTTTTCAATATTTTTTTCTCTTTTCATTTCCAATCTTACTGTAAAATTTCTATGTTATTGTCCAAAGGTAGGCAATTTCGCAATATTGATGCAAATATTGATATAAATATTGATATTTCAATTTTAGACTGTCAGATTTTTTTTTTATAAATATTTGCAATTTAATGGTATTGACAAGAATGGAAAGGGAAATCGTCAAACAAGTAATATATCTTTTTATATGCTATTAATAATAACTGGCTTAATAATTTCCAGAAAGAGGCATTAAAAATCCATTTTCTCAACAACAAAAATTAAAAAAAATAATAACTATTTTTTATCTAAATTGGTGTTTATTCTCTATTAAGAAAAAATACATTTCCTGTATTCAAATTAAATGAACATATACCTAATGCTGAGATATTTCCAATTACTGTTAAATAGCAATATAATGGGATATAAATGTAGAACAGACAAATAAATTTTATGGCAGAAAATGCTCAGTTAAGAGTTCTGCAATTTTGTTTATTGTTTCAACCAAATTTCTGATAATTGTAACTTATTAATTAGAACTTGATTATTGACTTATGTGACAGATGATAATGACACTGTTTTACAAGGAAATAAAATTTACTTGCATTTTGTATACATATTTTTTATCTTTTCATTGAAAATAACCCACATCTGATTAATCATTCAGCTAGCTAGCAAATTAAATTAACAGAATATTTTAATGTTGTGTAGATCAAAATAAATAATACATTTGTAGGCATACTATTGAGGTCAAGAATGTGTGTATTCAGTTAGTAATATTATGATGTGTGTAATATATTGTGTCTATTTAATTATGTAACAGGTCATGAGCTATTAACTTTGGTGAATTAAGACTGGGGATGTTTCCAATTAACACTTACACTTTTGAGTGTAATTATTTAAAAATCATAACAGTTTATAATCATACTACTCTTACTTGCCTATGGAAAGAATTGGAGTAATACCATTTCAAAAAAGTGTGGTAATCAACTTAGATATATTAATACACATGTTGACCCAAATTTCATTGAACAATCACTTACAGAAGTATATGATACTAATCTAATACTTTCAAAATTCTTATCAACTGATTCAATTGATGTACAAATACTTTTCAAATTAATTCATAAATAGTAAATCATTATAAATTTTGATTTACAAAGGAACTATATGCAAGTGTATATCTAAAATAAGAGTTTTTCCACCAATCTTTTCTTAATTTAAGGGCAAATAACATGTCAAAAGTCGGCAGTTGATGATTAAAATGGTGTAGAAAGTTTCTGCAAGTCATAAAAACACATTATTAGTTTAATGATATGTCTTCAACTTGGTATTCTGCACCATCTCCAAAACCAGAGTGATCACATAGATCCAGCATGGCTGAATCAAAAAACCTCCTGGTCCAGGAATGGAAAATGAGGGATTTGGTGTACTAAGTTGTAATACAAAATCCCTACCTGCCTACACACATTTTAGAAGACCCAAATCAAAGGAATGGTGCCTTTATTCCTATTCTTAATTTCAAAGTCACAGTGAGGCCTTCAACATTGAGTAAAAGCTTAATGAATCTTAAGACAAAACAATGGCTATTTCTTGATGAACAGCATGCATTGTAATGGCCATGTATGATGATGAAAGAACTAAGCTTTTTTTTTAAAGTTTTATATTTTTTTAATTGTAATACATAGTCATAAATTTTCTAGATAAAAATAAAAATAAAGGTACAATGTATATTTCAAATAAAAAAAATAAATTTCTAAAACATGTAATAAATTTGTATAACATTAAAGTTGAAAAAGATAACTCCACATAAAGCAGCATTTAAAGCAAAAATAAATGTTGTGTTTCAAGTTCCCCAACAGACCCTGTTTTCTCACCCTGTGGTTTCTATATGGACTGAAATATTTCTGACTCACCCAAACTCCTGGTTGAGACAGCATATACGCATCATTTCCCGAATTTAAATTTTTTTTGAATGTATCGATGTAATCGTTAAACATCAAACAAAAAGAATGCAAGATATTTATTTCCCTTGTAACACCCTCAGGCATTTCCTATTATATATAATTCAGACAAGCTTTGTCAATGGTGTCTGACATTTCCAAGTTACACACTCTTTTGAAGTGTTGGATTCCTCATGTTATTTCTAAATAATGGCTAAATTGTTTTTATTGCAAATAATATTGTATATAAACATGATAAAATTTCATTCTTTTAAGACATTCCAAATTGGAACTGGTTATTGTCAGCATTAAATGTCAAAACTAATAATTTGATTTCAACAGAAAAACTTGTGTTATGACTTTTCCTTTGTATAATACTTATTTAATAGAGGGAAAAAAGAAGAAATCTCTAGCAATAAAAAATACAGATCGGAAATATTAAACCCTAGGTTTCTATTGGTTTCCATACTAACAAAAATGGGATGCTGCAGTTAAAAAAACAGTCAAAATGACTGATATTTATTTTTAGGTTTGTAATTACATCTATTGCCAGAAACACAACATAATGTTTTCTTGACTTAATAGTGATGTCCTCTCATTATATGAGAGTAAAAGCCGTATTTATTAGAGCACTGTTTCCCGCACACATTACACACAAATGGGTCAGTGTGGCTATGGCACCCTATATGAATAGAATACAAAACTTCATCATCAAATGTGATGCCACAGTGACCGCAAGTGTTTTCTTTGACTGGACATTCAGCTGCTACCACCCTTGACTGATGCATCAGTTCACACTGAATACCACAGTCCACACTCGGTTGAATTTGTGAAATTTCTATTAATGAATCAGATTTGTGAAGTCCGCATTGCACACCTATTGTTGTAGTTTCTGATTTGACTGTTGTATTGACAACATTGTCTGCACTTGATCTAACTTCCTGTTGCGATGATGATGAATCAGTAGAATTTGTTCTGATGCTGTCCATGCAGTTTGATGACTCATTTTGTGAATTATTCTCAAATGTTTCAACAAGTCTTTGTTGGTAGGGTTGCATGTTTATCCGATGTGACAGATCCTTTGGTCCTCTGTAGGGAGGACCGGAACTTGACACATGTAAATCAGTAGCTTCATCATAATCTCGGGGTTCTATTTTTACTTTTACTTGTCTTGAGCTTGGTAAAGTACTTTGGTAATTTGATGATAAACATGAGGACTGACATTCACCATGTACCTCAGTAGTTCTAGGTAGAAAATAACCAGATGAGGTCATGGTACTTGTGACAGGCACCCTCGGTGGCATGTTGGTGTTCATAATGGATGAGACAATAGATCTTAAGTAGTTTGATGCCATGTGATTTTCTTCGGTTTGACGTTGAACTTGTGGTACATAATTGCTAAATTGATTGAGACATTGGGTTTGTAATGTTGGATTGTTTTGTGGTCGATACGATAATTGTGTTGGATGGATGCCTGATAGTAATGAATGCAATGCATTAGTTGCTGTCATGTTTGAATTTGATGGTGATGGCTGACCATGAGCACTGAGATCCAAGGTATCAATTTGCAACGGGGTTTGGTGAAAACTTGGTGGTTGGTATGGCGATGTTTCAAAATGATGCACTCTTGCTGGTTCAATTCTGTCATTATGAGCTTGTAAGCAGTGATCACGAAATTTTCTTGGGAGAATGGTTGTGTAGGCACATTTACTACACTTTAGTACATTAACAGGATTGCTGCCCATATGTAATCTCCTATGGCGACGAAAATTGCTTTTGTCATTAGTTGTATAGTCACATAATGAACATTTCAATGCCTTCACACCTAAAAATAAAAAATAAGAATTTTTATGTTTGATTTTCAAGTATGGAATGTTTCTCCTACAGTGTAGCATAAATATTTTCCTTTAGGAAAACACATAAATATAATTGTTTCCTGCCTCCTACCTGAAAAAGGGGAGGTAAGTATATAAAATAATGTTATATTTTTTACATTTTACAGACTATATATAAGGAAAAGATCTGGACTTTTAACAGTGCCTAATCAAAATGTACATAAAATGTGTAAGGGTAGGTAGGGAGCAAGAAACAGAAGTACAAAATGTATCTTTGCCTTATCTTAAAATCTAACTTTATCCAGGACAAAATAGACTGCAACAATTAAATTGAGGAGTCTCAAGTAGGACGCTTTAAAAATATTTGTAGTTGTGGATCCTCATTTTTGGTTTGGGATTCCCAAATATATATATCATATTTTTTTTATTGAAAAACCCAGGTGTTATGTAGATGTTGTACATGTATGTGCATTACTTTCTTTAAATCAGAAGCTATAGATCAAAGGTATGGGGGTAATAAATAAAATGACATACCACTTTGGATTACATCATACTGTAAAGATATTAAACATTTCCCAAACCATAATTCAACTTACTTCCTGGTTACAGTGATTTTAGGAGCTGTATTTTAATTTTACTGTCTTTATTAAAAAGACTGTTTTCCTACAACTAAGATGGTCTGCAGGTGGGAAATTGTAAAGCAAAAATTATTCCCCTTTCTGTCAAGAGGCTTTCTCAGTCTTTTTCCAGCAGCAGTCAGAATTTCCCACCATTTATCTGGTCGACCCACTTTGCCAAACATTCAAATTGTCTTAATTTTTAATTTGTTCTTGTCCTGAATATCAAAATTATTTGACAATTAACATTAAACAAACAAAATTCAATCAATCCTAAAATCTGTTGACTTAAATCAGTAATCTTTTGTTAAATTTCATCAATCGCTCTGGTAATTTTGTCTTGCATTTTAAAATTATCTCCCTTTCAATCTTACCTCCATGTTTAGGCATATGAAGTTGAAGTTGTGTATATGTACTTGCTGTAAATGGACAAAATCTGCATTTGTAGAATCTATTTGGTGAACCTGTTCTCATATCTAAAACATTCTCAGGTGACGAGTCCATGTACTGGTATGGGAAATCGTCATTATTTTCCCCATCATCCATTTTAATGGAATCATATCCAATTCGACTGTCTTCAAAACTTGCATCGCTGTTTTGATAACCAGTGTCATGCGACAAGTTCTGTGGTGACGAACTCTGTGTTGATTGTGGTGACTGTTGTTTTTCTTCATTTTGTTGTACATGTATATATGAACGATCTAGTTCCCTTTGTTCTTCAAAACTTGTCTGGCATGGTGATGGGTTATCTCTGTTGTCATCTTGTATCATAGAACTTGCCTGAATTAATGCATCAATTGAGTTGCCTGTTGACTCTACAACATTGTCTGATGTGGCGAATTCTTTTTCAGTCATTGTTTAATCTGAAAAGAAATGGTATAATACATATTGTATTACAAAATGTAGTATTGTATTAGTGATATATATACAAGATGTAATCTGAGCTACTGCTCACTTATTCATTCTTTTTTAATCACAGGCATGACAGAATGATCTTATACATATATCATTAAGATAAAAAGAAAAGGAGAAACTGTTAGCAGAAAAAAATGATCAGAAATACAAGATCAACAAAAGAGTTTTTTGTAATGAATTCTAGTCTACAATGTTGGAGAGTGTCTATTGTTGAAGATACACATAGACGTAGGTGAGAGTCACAAGCTCTTTAGAGACTCTAGTTTTGTTCTTATTTATAGGTACAAATGATACCAGAGAATACAATTAAAGTAACAGCTGTTTTAGTTTATGTCTTAAATTGTCATATATACATGTAGTTACACAATTAACACAATCATATTTCTTCCTCTTGTAAATATTGATAGCAAAACCAACATTTGATTGGTTGAGAGTATTTCATGTGACGTTGAACAAAACTTCATATTCCCCTCTGAATGTCAGGACTTCCTTTTGCAAGTTATGTGCGGTAACTATGATGTATTCATATACAACATTTGAACCTTTTTTTAATAGATATAGTAAACTAATTTTGTGTTCAAAATTATTTCAGATCTAAAAAAAAAAAGAATAAATAATTAACTTTTGATCGGTACTCATTATGTTTAATGTATAATATATATGCAAACATACGGCCTTCAAAAATGAGAAAAAAACCCATACCGTATTATTGTGGCAGTCCGCTATAAAAGGCCCTGACATGAAACATATGAAAAAATTCAAGTGAGAAAACTTCCTGCCTAATTTATAACAAAACAATTTACGTAAAACAAATATGACAGACATGAACCAACAACAACTGAACTACAGGCTCCTGACTTGGGACAGCCAAATAAAGAATGTGGCAAGGTTTCATATGTTTGCAGGCACCAACCCTCCCCCTAACCTGGGACAGTGGTGTAACAGCACAACACGAGCACAAACTATGCAAAACAATGCAAATAAGCAGAAAACAAATATGAGAAACAGCAAAAATTGACAACCACTAAAGCTCCCAACTTGTAGAATGTGGCGGGGTTAAACATGTTTGCTGGTGCCAACCTTCCCCATAACCTGAGATAGTGGTGTTAGTTGTAACAGTTCAAACTATAAAAAATCAGTTGAAAAGGTCTTAACTTATTAAATCAACACAAAGCAGAAAAACATCTAACAAAAACACAGACTAGACGTGGTACGGTGGTAGAGAAATCTTACATCTCTCACAACAAAAAAGACACAAATAACAGATCTGAGAGTACTCAGAGTTACTGACAGCTACTTCAAAGCCCATAACAACTAATAAAAAAAATTATTTAGTGTAAAGGTGTCATTAACAGTCAAGACAAAAACATGATCTAGTGCAATGCTAAAATATAATTATTGACAGATTGTAGAACCATACTTGTGCATATGTGTATAGCAATAATATTTAGTATGACTATTTATTTACTGATAAAAAAATCAATTTTTATATAAATAAAAACAATATTCAAAGATCTAATTACAGTGTTGAATTGGTAACCTTTTAGAAAAAGTTTATTTTATAAATTTAAAGGATTTATAAGTTTACAGGGTATCTGAATGGTAAACAACATCACCTTACAAATTAGGATGTGCTATTCTTTTTGAAATAAGTTTTCTTATGGGACAGCCAAACTTGCAAACCAAATCTTTGTATCTATGGAAGAATTAAGTTAAGATTTTAAGTAATTTTGTGGTAACGAAATGTCTGACTTAATAATTTACCAGTAATACATAAATTACGCTCATTGAAAGCCAAAATGTCACTACACACATTCGCATAGTGAACAATTTGGGATATATAAACACCGTAAGACAGTGCCAAAAGAACATCACTGTCCAAAAAAGGCCGGACCCTCAGATATTATAGCATTGCATTGTTTGTAACAAAGTTTCAATTGAAATTTTGCGTGACAAATATAGGTTGACACTTTGAATGAAATATTTAAAATATATATATGGGAAAGCAGTCTTCAATAGTTTACTTGCAAAACATTTAATCATGGGTGCCAATATAACTACCATGGGTGCCGAACTAACCAGGTCCCTAATTGACTTGGTGCTACATTTATGTACATGTATACTGTGTGCTGATTTAACTAGGTGCTTTCGGATTAAAATTCAAATTTTTGAATAAGAGAGGCGAAAGGTATCAAAATAAACTGACAACTCCATGGCTAAAAAAGAAAAAAAAACAACAGACAAACAAAAATTACACAAAACACAACAAAGAAAAGTAAAGAATGACCAACACAAACCCCACCAAAAACTGGAGGTGATCTCTGGCGCTCCGGAAGGGTTAGCAGATCCTGTTCAACATGTGGCACCTGTCGTGTTGCTCATGAATGTAAGTACGAGCCCTGTGATAAGTCTCAAATTAGTAGGTCACATTCGTGAACAGAAGGGACAGGATTGAAGTTACGACAATTGGAACATATCTGTCATCATCTGTGAAACAGATATTTCATAACAGTCAACCAATTTGTGATGGCGTCCATAAACTTTACAAATAGATGATTTCGATTTCACCACTTGGAACTCTTAGTTTGATAGCTTTTTTGTGAGCGGCAACCCTCTATCAAGGAAATCATGATCGGAAATACGTGCTATTAAGAATGCATTGTGACGACTCAATTTCCATTGAAAAATCATGCATAGTATAAATTCATATGACGAATAAAACATATGATCTGACCATAATTACATATAAATCAATGTATGACAAAACAGAGGATCCTGAAATCTATTAAACAGAAAGTAGAACAGAGCATTTCCAGATATTGTAAGCGCAGTCTCGAAAACAGGATTTGTATTTCGATCAGATTGGTTGTGTCACTTCATTTTGAAAAAAAAAAAATATTCAGTCTCACGTCTCACTGTTAGTGTAAGTGTGCACTTGTGACTTGAAGATGTTGAACTCACATCATGTGTACATTAGACATTTAAATTTTCGGAATTCAAAAGATTTATTTCTAATTTAATGCGCTGATGTAAGCACTCAAAGTGTGTGGGTTTTCTACGATATTTTGTGACTTACAAGCATAAAAATCTGTGTATATTAATTTTTGTGTCATTTCTGTTTTTCCATTTTCGCGTCCTTCACCTTGACATAGGAGAGCTCTGAAAGTAGGTAAGTCCGAAAACCTAAAATTATGCAACGAACTTAAAATAATTGGCGTCGATTTTGGTGTAGCCTGTGGTCCTGGCTCACTGCTCGACCAACTATCATATTGGGTCAGGATGCCAGGCTAACTATGGTGTTGTTATTTTTCTTACCTGGCCCAGGTGGGCTTTTGCCATCACTTTGCGTCCGTCGTCCGTAATCTTTCCTTTGAAAAATCTTCTCCTCTGAAACTGGCGCATTCCTCCTTCCGGATATTTATTTTACTCCTTTAAAGCAGACAGAACCTTCTCAAAGACAAAAGCAAAGTTTGTCTGGTTCATCTACAGTATAGGATGTTGGTTTCATAAAGTTTGTGATTTTCGTCTAGGTTAATTGACTCCATCAACCAACGTCTAGAAATAGCACATGGGAGTCATGCTACAGATTTTGCATATATTTCTTAAACTTGCTGACTGGTCTATTAATTAGTTCAACTACTGTACTGTATTCGAATAGCTTGTCAACACTAATGTTGTGAGTTCAGTTCCACTTACAAAAACTGACCGCCACAAAGTAGCAAATATTGTTTATAGTGGCGTAAAACACAAATCAATCAATCAATCAATCAATCAAATTCCTAAAACTATAGCAAATAGAGAAAAACTGACAGGGTTTTAAAAGTTCTATTTGCCATGATAATTTTGGAAAAATCTGCCCACTGTTTTGGTTTTATTCCCCTCGGAAATATTGACTTGTAACTTCTTTTTTTTTTTAGAATTTCCTTGCCACTGTTTCAAAAACTATAGGTGCTAGGTTAAAAGTGTCAAGTGCAAAAATGATCAGCATGACAAGATGCATCCACTCTGAAAATAAGAGAAAATTATATCCACTTGTTTTGGAGTTATTGGCCCTGAATGTTTGGCAGTTTTTGGCTGTTCTTGAAAAATATAGGAGCTAAGTAAAAAGTGTAAATTTTAAAAATGATCAGCACGACAAGATTTATAAATCCTGAACATTTTAGAAAATCTGTCGACCTGTTTTGGAGATATTGTCCCTAGAATATACATGTTTTCCAATTTTTCGTATTTTGTTGCTGTTATTTTGAAAATTATATAGGAGCTAAGTAAAAGTGTAAACCGCAAAAGTTATCAGCATGAAAAGATCTATCTACTTTCAAATGTAGTTTCCCCTAAAATCTTATACAAAATAATGTTCTGTTTTTTTCACTATCATATTGAAAAATTCAATAATGCATGTTTATCATGATACAAGTTATATATGACTCATAAATATCAGAACTTTCACCTAGTTCAATCAAAAATTTAACCGGATTCATGACGAACAAACCGACGGACAGACACACAGACCGACCGAAAACATAGTACCCCTTATTATCGTAGACGGGATATGAACAGTTTCTGTCAATGTTATAAAAGTTTTAGCTAGTCAAGAAATACGGAAATTATTTAGCATTGACAGTTTGCTTTTGGTTGGAATAAAAAACCAAGCGTTTGATAATCAACGTAAAATGTGTTCAATCAATTTACACTACCAGATTACACAACCTTGAGTTTCTTTGTTCTGCATGCTTTCTTCACGAGGGACTCGGTTAGCAGTTTAAAAAAAATTAGCACATACTTACAACTTCTCGTCCAATCAAATTGCTTATATTTGCCTTCTAATTTTCATAGTACATACTTTTCCTGTGTACTAAGTAACTACGCATGAATGACCACAAGGGTAAGATTTCATTGTATCGTAATCAAGATATTTAAAACAAAAATTGCCACTGGCTATTTTGAAATAAAATGCTGTGTTCCAAATTAAATTAAATAGTTTGTAATTAGTTTTCACATTGATTTTAAATATCCTGCTATTAAAACCTTTGGATCTAAAAAATGTTTTTGACAATTGCAAATTTTATCATTTAAATAAAGGGTAATACATATGGTTCTTTATACCTTGATTAGAGTACAACGATATCTTAAAATTATGATAATGTATCATCCATGCAATTACTTTGTACACAGAAAAGTGTGTACTATGAAACCTTGTAAAGGAAAATTAAAGCAACTTGGTGATAATTTTTCTTAAGGAAAGTGATCTATTTCGTCATGAATTGATTGATTTATTGATTATTGGTTGCTTAATGTCCAGTGGCAAATATTTCATGCATGTTCAGGACGATGTCATGAATTGAAAAACTGTGATTATGTCTGAAGATAATGTGCCACCTATATATATATATATAAACATATTCTGATAAATCTTTTAGTTTTTACTTTGAACTAATAAAAAAAAAACACAAAACCTATAATCTCTGATCTATTTGTAGTTGCTTTTTAATGCCTATCTGCTAGACTATATCTTTGGGGACAAACTATCTATATGTTTCAAACTTATTATAGCTTTAGTTTTACTGTGAAATTAAAAAATGTTTTCAAAACATGTAAAGCTTCCACTGCAATTTAATTATTGCCTGTTTTTGGTCAACTTATTATGTAAGAAGAACATGTATAGTAAAACACCGCTTTATATCAGTATACATACTTACACCAGCAGCTACCATCTTTTCATTCTGGAGTGAAGGGCCTTTTGAAATCACATATTTTACAATGATACTAGTGAGTAGATTTACAAAATTCGTTAATGAGCTCCGTTTTACAAACACCTGTGATACAAGTAGTCAGCCAAAATAAACTATCAATAGACCAATTAAAAGATTACTCGAGTTGTAAATATGTGCTAAATTGGATAGTCTATGGAAAGGTATATACTATGAAATTAAGAGCTTGGGGCAAGCCCCTCGCTCTAAATTTCATAGTATATACCTTTCCATAGACTAACCTAGACTAATCAATGATTTTGTTTGTTTGTTTTTTTTGTTTAGTATTTCCTGTCTATTTGTATTACTTTATAAACGTATTTAACGATGGCATCAATATTTCTTTGTTTCCTAGCAATGTGCAGTTTACTATCCATATCCGTATACTGAAATATACGGATATGGATAGATTTTTTCAATCTGCTAACCGAGTCCTTGTGGCTTTCTTTTGTTCTGTAACAATGTTGAATGTTGAACACACAATAAAACTTAGAAATATTTATTCGGAATACAGACTAACTTTCAAAATCGAAATCAACACCTTAAGCATGTGAAGCCACGATTCATACCCCTAGGGGTATGAATCGTGTCAATTTAAATTATATATTTAAACATTGTATCCGGGGCTCATAAAGGTATATACTATATAGTAATATATAAAGTATATTATAGTTATTGTATGGCATTCTGAACTAGATGTTATGAAGCGTAAATGTTTTTTTTTTCGTATAGTCTAGAAGGGCTGGGATGTAAAATAGTTATCCCACTCGGACTTGATGTGTCAGTGTAAGATCACCCTCTGGCCTCCGTCATCGGTAATGAAATGTTGAATTGCTCATCGCTTTTCGGTACCACCATTTTCTTTCTTACTAATGTTAAAGACATTTAGTCTCACTCTGTTAGTCAGGCGATCGTCAGACTTCGCAAACTGAAGGACAATGTAATTTGCGCTAAGCAAATAACTTTAAACCACTGGCGTTATGGGCCAAGAAATGTTTACTTAATTTGAAAAGTAAACTGAATGAAAGAGGGCACTGACTAACTTCAAGACTATTACTTTTTTTTTGCTAGTCACTTTCAGAAGTTTGCCCCACCCAAACTTTCAATTTGTTTCTACGCCACAGCCTTAGATTCACAAAAAAAAACCCAAAAAATAAAGTAATAAAAAATACACTAAACATTTAAGCAGACGGTGTGTCCTCTGAGTCTTACGACTATTATGTTGTCGAACAATCGGTCTGCAGGACTCCATCTTTAATTTCCCACACATAAAAAGCAATGGATACAATAAACAAAATCATATTCTTTTTATAATGTGATTTAATGCCGCATGATCCATCATGGATAATTAAATTGACAAATTTAAAGTCAAACTGAAACATCTGGAAGACCCGGGCGGTATTGAGTTCTGTGTCTTTCTTCATTTTCTGATCTTCTGATCTCTTCCTTCCTTCTGGTATCATTTCGAATCCTTTCATTGTCCTTTTATTCTGTTTTTCTTCAATCTTTGCGATTTTACTTTTTAATCTTATTACCTTCTGGCTTAGACTTGCTTTCTTTTTTCCTCGCTATTCTTGGCCACAATAGCTGAAATAGAAAATTGAGAACCGATACACGTGTTTTTTTCAGGCGCCACCAGGAGTATTTAATGCAAGGTTAAAAATTTGTAAGTCATTGAGAAGAGTGATTCTTTTTTCTTATACCCAATTAGTTTCATTTCGGAAGGACTCGCCGTAGGAGTTTATCTATATTTGGAAGATGTAGGCTTCTCTGCTTTTAAGTTATCTCAGGTATGTTAATTTTCAAGCAATCAGTTTAAGATACAATGTATTACTAATAGCAGAAAAAAGAGTCATTAAAGTATATCCTGTATGTTAATGATATAACTTTTTTCAGCCGACGCTCCAATTCTCCGTATTTCAACCATCATTTCTTTTTCTTCTCGAATATATTGTTCTGTCCTATCTAAAATAAAAAAAAAGGCTTTGTTCAGAAGAAAACCTGTGTCAATTTAACTTTTCAACTGTTTACTTTGTTCTATTGATTGGTGTCTGTTTTACTTCCAGTGACAATAATTTGTTCTATTGATTGTTGTTTGCTTTACGTTCAGTGGCAATACTTTGTTCTATTGTTGTTTGCTCTACGTCCAGTGGCAATACTTTGTTTTGTTGATGTTTGCTCTACGTCCAGTTGCAATACTTTTTTCTGTTGTTGTTTGCTCTACGTCCAGTGGCAATACTTTGTTTTGTTGTTTGCTCTGCGTTCAGTGGCAATAAATGTTTTCTTGTTGTTTGTTTTGCGTTCAGTTGCAATACTTTGTTCTATTGATTGTTGTTTGCTTTACGTTCAGTGGCAATACTTTGTTCTATTGATGTTTGCTCTACGTCCAGTGGCAATACTTT